ATAAAAAAGTTCGATTAAGTACATATGTATACATAAGTATTTATAAATGCAGTTGAGGGTCATTGCTCCCCGCGGACCTATCGCTATTAGCCGTCACTGGGTATACGCCAAGGTGAGCATGCATCGTCACTGGGACTTATCGCATAGCAATCGAGTAGCGAGAACAAAATTTGGATCTCGTACGATTGCTGGTTAAAAAGATGATGACAAAAATATTTATAAGTTTATACTCAGACGACTAAAAAAAGTCGTTTAACTTCTGGCTCCAGTAACGGCAATAGCGAAAAAAGCAGCTTTAAACAACAACAAAACAATCAATGCCACACACATGCACACAGCTTGCAATCTGGAAGAATTATTTTTCTTTTCACTCGTTTTGCTTGCAACAAAATTGAGTTTTACTTTCGATCTTTTACGTACTTTTCGTATATTTTCAATACTATCAGACTGCAATTGATAATAAAGTGGGTATTGAAGATTTTGCTGGTGTTGTGTTTTATGAAAACCGTCTATTTAGCTGTAAATTTTCCCGTTTTTCCCTGTTTGCAACAATGATTTTTCGCCGATTTCACTTTTCTGAACTGTGACAAATTCTGCCATGGATGGGGCGGTGCTGCCAGGTTACAGAAAAATTGCTTCGATTTGGCATTACTGCCACAAAAGAGTTATCGTTTTGTCTTTTATACCTTTCCAAAACGAATTTGGGTACAATCGTGTTTATACCCAACGGAAGTAGTGTACTAGGAATTTTTAAACAGGCTCATTTGCCATTGGTAGTAGACTATATTAAATATTCACATTGGTATTTGAGCTTTCAAGGCATAGAACTTATTACAAGGAAAAAATATTTTCTCCTGCACCAATTTCGTTTTTAAACAATTATTTTATGGCGTGATTATTTATTATGTTGATTTATAAATTAAATTTACACTTTTTCAACGAATGCATTTCGAAAAAAGAAAATTATAAGAATACAAGGGGTTTGCTAATCAGGTAAAAAATTCAGTTTCAGAAATAAAATATTAACAGAACAGCGAAACAAGCAAATGCAGCCGATTCGATTACATAGCATCAAAATGGAATCGATGTGCCTCCTGCAATTTCTCCTGCTTATCTTCGCGCTTTTCCTTGATGTAGAGAACAAGTATGATGAGCACTATGACCAGGCACGTGCCGCCCAACGCCACAACGCTCATTAGAATCAATTTACTGGGTGTAACAAAAAGCTGTGCCTTCCAGTGTTGTGGCTCACTCACTGGTTCTGGTACAACATTCATCTGTGAGTTGGGTATAACTTGGGTCCAAGTGCGCGATTTGCTACCCAAACCAACTGTAAGAGAGTCTACGAAATTTGGCGTACGTCCAAGACCGAAAATGGTGCAAGGCAGCTGCAGCGCAAAATATGCAGATTGTGGAAGTTGTACGCTTGATCCTTCTTGTTGATCACCCTCCTGTGTAGTGGTTGAGTAAGTAATACGTGGGCCGGGTAAGTTGGTTCCATAAGTGCGGCGCTTTCTACCCAGCGGTGTAGTTTGTGTCGGGTTTTTGCTATTTATAAGACCTGTAAGAACGATAACTTTAACAAAGTTCGCATCGTAGTCAAGAGTGTTGCGAAACGCTAGTGGCCGATATTTCCCTTGCTTAGTTTTTTCAATAAGTATGACATCTAGAACACCTTTTAGGAAAATAATATAAGCAAATTTTAAAATTTATTCGTGATATAAGATGTACAAACCATCTTGATAAAAGTCGTAGAATGCGCCAGCAACAGTTTCATTTCCCATTGGACTTAGTCCATTCCATTTCACTTCAAAAGTGCGCTTCAGTGGCTTGTTGCACATCTTGCAAGGCACATTTTCCAAGAGAAAAGTTTGCATATGCTTTGATCCGCTTACTGTTTGCAACGTTAAAATTAAATCCGGATAACCATCCATGTTGAAATCTCCGCTGCGTGCTGTGATTGTCTTCAGGTAGACGTCTGTTTCAATTGGGTGCACAAAACCCCACAATACACCTTGTGGATCCTTAAAGTTTACATGTATATCACGAAAATTTTTTCCATCATATACTAGAATTGTCGAATTAGAACAATCTTTACGAAAGCACACAGGCAATATAATGTTCTCAACTCCTTCTAACTCAAAATCTGCGAATACAGCTTGCCCTATGGTAAAGTCGGGTGAACCAATGACTGATAAATCAATGCTGTGATTGTAACTGAAATCTTCTTTTTCTTCAGTGCGGCCATACCAAACCTCATAATTTTTATTCGTTTGCACAATAAGGTCAGCAGTAAAGTCGGCATTGAAGTCCAAATAGGCATTTGCATTGGGAATGCGAATAGAATTAACCGAAGCGCCTGATCCACCTGGTGGAGCTTGCTTGCGTTTTTCTGGCGACTGGCGCAAAGGCTTAAATATCCAAAATGTGCGATCGCCATCCTCATCTAGGCCAAAGAGATCTATAATCATATCACGATTGAAGTCGAGTGCTAGAGGTTCGCCCTTGGTTCGGAAAATGGGATTTTTGACACCTGAGCAATTAATACCATCTGGGCCGCCCCAATTTACATGCACATTGTAAATATTTTCCTCTGCACCTCGTTTTGGACGCAATGTTACAAGAACATCCATCAAAGCATCGCCATCAAAATCGCCAGGCACTACACTAGTTATTTCATGATCCTCATAACTACAATAAGGTCCATGTCGTAGAAGTGGCTCGGTGTAAGCACCTGAAAATAAATATATTATTTCTAATTTTCAGTTGTACTATTAGTATACTACCGTATAATATCTCTAATGTACTCATTTGATCCCTTATTATAAAAACATCGGTCAATTCATCGGAATTGAAGTCTCCAAAGGCAGCTACGATGCCCTCCTTTACATCGCCGAACACCTGCTGCGTGATGTCACTGCTCCTACCCAATACAATCAGTGTGAACAATATTGTCACCTTTGCAGTCTTTTCCACGTAATACTGCATTATTATTGATATTTTGTCTTTTGTACACGATTAGATCAATTCAATAGCAGCAGAAGCATTTTATATTAAAATCGATGCGTATTCCCAACGCCTGCGGAAAACCCAATTGGATAAACTGGCACTTCTTATCAGTATATGTATTTCTTAATATAATAAGTAAATTCTTGTTTTGTTTATTGAACTGCAAATTTCACTTAAATGTTAATTAGAAGAAATCCTGCAAATCGTGAGTCAGAAAAACAAGACAAAGCATAGCGCTTTCAGCTGTTAAAATATACAGAGTTGCTTTCCAAAAGTCTTACAAAAACTAATTATTTTCACCAATGTTCAAGAATTTCTTATAATTATGTTGCAATTGATGAACACTTTCATGATTAACGAAAAACAATTTAAAGGTATTCATATTGATGTAAAAATATTATAAATTTGTGTCAGATATGAAGCTCCATCGCATGATAGGGTATAATGCAAGGCGCATCAATTACAAGTTGCGTTCCAGATGCTTCACGATTTGCAGGTTTTTACAGGAAGTCGTTCCAGGTGACCACCTCCCATAAGGTTTATTAATGGAGAAAACAGCTGTTCCTGCACTTCGTGAATTTTGTGAATATCGGGAAGCATCTGGAACGCAACTACAGTGTAATTATCCGCATATATTTACACATATACGTAAATATATACCCTACAAACAAATGCTCCCGAAATCTTTAAGAGTATCGCAAATTTGCATAAATCGTTTCATGATATCGATACTTTCTAAAATATCGAACATTTCTAATTCCTTCCATGATTCAATAACTACAGGTTGTAGCAATCGTACAAAAACAATATTTACCGTTGGTATGAACTCCTTGTGTCATCAACATCTTTATCTATTCATATTCGTAGGTATATGTGTACCCTGCATACCAGGATTTCATAGAATACTGAAAGGTTTCCCAATTTTTTTAAGAATTTTCTTTAAGATGTACAGAAATTTCTTTACCATTTCTTGTCAACCGCTTCATTTGTTTTTCTTTAAGGATTCCTAAAAGAATCGCAACATATTTGCGATACTCTTAAAGATTTGGGAGCATTTGTTTGTAGGGTATATATTTACGTATGTGTGTAAATATATGCGGATATTTCAACAAAGCAAAACAGGCGATAATTTGGCACAAGCGTGCTCATAAGAAGAAGCATGGCTTCTATGGCTATCACCAGCGTTGCCGCTTTGCTAATTTTTTACCAAAACTGGCAATTTTTTTCTTTTTAGAACGAGTTTGGTATTTTGGTAATTTAATTTTCAGTTTGGTAATTTTTTTCAACGCAAGTCTTTCCTTTTAAGTTTAGTACTAACTTATTACTTATAAAAATTTATAACTTTGAACCTTCTTACAATTGCACAAAACAAAAAAATTTGCTTATGTACTTAGATATGTATGTGTCTACACCTTAAGAGAGGCAAACATTGTAAGGGCTCTTTAATGTAACAATTTGCTTTGACAACTCAGAACTTTTAATATGAGTTCGCAATGTAGCAATTTAAGTAATTCCCAATATGGCGGCTCGATCACTGTCCCCACATTCCCACAAATCATGGTTTTGGAAAATTGTTACTTCACAGGACTAATTACAATTTTGCGATTAAATACGAATGTGAGCCATTTATAAAATTGTAAAAGTAAATTGTATCTATTGTTTAACGATACATTTTCTGGTTTCATGTTTTGGTTTTAAGCTATGTAAAATACTCTAGGTAAAAAACTGTATGTTAAACACCTTTTAAATGTTTGTACATAATCTCTGAGCGATTTTTTTGTTTCATGTTTTAAAAATATTTACGAATTGTTATAGATCTAAGCTGGCCACAATCCCAGACGTGCTGTATTTGTTTGGAATTTTATGCTCATAAAAATTTGGTAATTTTTTCTGAGTTTGGTAATTTTTTTGTAGAGCTTTGGTAAAAAATTAAAAAGCTTTGTGGTTACACTGGCTATCACCTGTAATTGATGCGCCTTGGATTCCTTCTCATTTCTTTTCTTTTCTTTTCATTCTTTTTACTGCCCAACAATTTACGGCCCAAATTTGCCAACACATACCATTTTTTACTTTGTAATTTGTTAATTTTTTCGGGGAAAGTGCTAATAAACATTTAAAATGCTGCCTAAACTTAAAATATCAGCATTTTTATTGAAGGTAAATAGTTAAGGTTGGCTGGGAAGCCAAATTAACCCAATGAAGCAATTAAAGTCTTCTTTCAATAATTCCCACAGCGTCTGGAGCGGATTAAGCAGCAGTGTAGTGGTTGCCTTTTTGGTGTTCTTTATGGCGAAGGCACGTTGCTACTTATGGGTTTCAATGTGGAATCAACCATTGGACACCTAAATTATGAACAAATTCAGTTTAAGTTTCCAGCAGAATTGGATTTGTGTGGGTTGGTGAAATTTGGGGATTGCACTGATGCAGAGGCGCACTTAACTGAGATCTTGAAAGACGTCGATATTACTGACAACCCAATATTATTACAGTGCGAATTAGGTACACTTGTGGGACTGCGAGCGCATGTTTTTATGCACAGCAAATTGGAGGAGGTGCCTTATGAAGTGATGGAAGCAGAAGAATTGCATAGTGATTTTTGCTTTACGAGACTGAAATGCAGTCTAGACTTTTACACACAGCAAACCGTGGAGGTAGATACGCATATTACATAAATTCTTCATACATATAACTTAAATACTTCTTGTTCACAGGCGGTGCGACGAGAAATGCATTTGTTGCGTAAAATGTTCTCAGGCGGTAGCTTGGCGTTTTGCATAGACTCTACTAAGATTTATCTGACCAGTTCTGGTGCTCAAGGTCAGGGCTTAAAAAATGATGCGCTAATAAGTAATTTAGTGAATGCAGTTAGAAAAGCCATTAGTAGTGCCGATGAAAAGCATGAAGTGGTAGAAAAAGGTAACAAAAAGAAAGGGCAAAGTACGAGTATACCATTGGCAAGCGTATTCGGAGCACTGGGTTGTGCTTACGACGTACTTAGCATTAATGTACTGCGTTGTAAAACACGTGAGCGTACTGCTGTGGATGGAGCAGGGGGAAGCAACGAAGGGCCACCACCGGCGGTAGCTATGTGTGTCAAACGTGAAGAAAGCAAGGTATGCATGCCGTTAGAAGTGGAAGCAATGGCCATGCTATGCAAAAGCACCAAAGTTAGTCGACTCTACGACATACTCATCGAGAGCATATGTCGGTCACTACGATTGTTCGAGCAAAGCATGGTTGAGCGGTTGGAGGAATCCACAGAATCACCTGAGCTACTTAGACCCTCTGGTTATCACTTCTTTCCTAAGGTATGACCTGTGAGTTAATATATTACAAGTATTTTTTAAGCAAACAACAAAACCGGCTTAAATTCTCATTTAAAATAAAAGATTACCGTTAATTAACTAATATTCCGTCGAATTGATAAACTTTTTTTTTGAAGTCGGTTAATAATTTTCAAAATGTAATTGACTAATACTTGAAACTTGAAATATTTCTCAGGAATTTGGTCACTTTTTATCATGCTCCTACTTGGACGGCGTATCTGATGATGAAGCGAGTGTACAAGAGAAACGTAAAAAGTTGCACCGCCACTTCGGTTTACCCGCAATACGCCCGTATTTTCGTCGTGCCAATCGCTGCATTTTCCGAAATGACCTTACGGGAGTAATACCTTTGGTAAACACGCACGTGGGCTTGCGTCCAAGTGGCATTGTCGATGGCAAGCAATACCTCGTACAGGGCAATTACTATTACTATCACTATCTACAGGAGCAAATGCAGGATAAAGGATGGGGTTGCGCATATCGATCATTGCAGACGATTTGCTCATGGTTTCTACTGCAAGGATACACAGAAAAGCCAGTGCCAACACATCGAGAGATTCAACAATACTTGGTACGTATTGGCGACAAGCCATCGAATTTCGTTGGTTCATCACAATGGATAGGTTCAACAGAAGTCAGCATGTGCCTTCAGGGTTTTCTTAATGTCGATTCCCGAATACAGCATGTTACTTCAGGTGCCGATGTAGCAACCTTAGCTTCCGATTTGGCTATGCATTTCCAAACACAAGGTACGCCAATTATGATCGGTGGCGGTGTGTTGGCACACACCATTATCGGAATAGATTACTGTTCGCAGACCGGGAAGGTTAAGTTTTTAATATTGGATCCTCATTATACGGGAGCCGATGATTTGCAAACAATACAGGCGAAAGGTTGGTGTGGCTGGAAAGGCGGTGACTTTTGGGACAAGAAGAGCTACTATAATCTCTGTATGCCTCAGCGACCGATTATGTTCTAGGTAGGCCAGTGGGGAAGTTGCGAACGTTTTCACGTGTTTTAGTCAGGGTTTGAATTGCTGCCGAAGTAAGCAGCTCTTCGTCATTTTCAATACGTTTGCAATGGCTTAGCTGCGACAGTTAAATGTAAATCAGCAAAAGTGAAAAAAGGACATGAATTCATTTGACAAAGTCATGCAGATTCCATCAACGAAAAGTCATGAACGACTTCCATATAAACGGAGTCCAAAGTCATTGAAGACTTAACATGGCCGTACAAGACCCTAAGTGACTAATGCATGAAGAAGCAAGCGTACATCGTTGATATACTGATGAAGATATGTATCTACTTAATGAGAGTAACGCAGCAGAAAAAAATCAAAAGAAAAAATGAGAATACACAAAACTACTGCTACAGCAAAATTTTCTAAACTGGTTGTTTCAGCTGGCTGTCTAAGTAAAAACAAACTTCGATTTAGTGCTCTTCAAGGCGCATCCATATAAGGTGGTAGCAATTGCATATAAGTAAAAATCCTGTGTATTTTGTGATTGCTTTTTGGTACATCAGGATGTGCTCATTTACACACGGCGATTGGAAACGAGCAATACCAAAAGGGAATATGAAAAATCGCGTCGACAAAAGTTTCCATGTATAAACACAGACAATCAAAAGCAAATGATTTCATATATCTTTTTCGGTTTTGCTGTTTGCTTTCGCTGATTAATTTTTCATAGTCATAGCTAAGACATTGCAAATGCATTTAAAATAGTCAAGCAATTTCAAACCCTGGTTTTAGTTTACTAATTTTATACGTGTAAAGATCCGTCTCAATATTTAGTTTGTTACCATTTTTAAATTTATTTTTTCTGTGTGGTGTCAACCACTTATTGTTGTAGTTAAAATAGCATATTATATATTTGGCGATATAATGTGTATCAAAATGTTTTTTTGTTTTTTTAGAAAAAGTAGCCAAACAAAAGCCAGCGAGAGCAGCATTTGTAATATTANGGCTTTATTTTTTATTTTTTGTGTGGTGTTAACCACTTATTGTTGTAGTTAAAATAGCATATTATATATTTGGCGATATAATGTGTATCAAAATGTTTTTTGTTTTTTTAGAAAAAGTAGCCAAACAAAAGCCAGCGAGAGCAGCATTTGTAATATTAAGCACCCATGTACGTATTTTTATTAAAGATTATATACATACATACAATGCGAGAGCCATTTTGAATCTATTGTAAGATGCAAATTTAAATTACCCATTCTACAACGGCCTCCTTCACGTAAACGGGGAACTATCCGCCGCTCTTGGAGTATCGTTTCCAAAATCGTTTAACGTCATCATGCCCGTTTTTAGTGACAACCATCGTGCGCGTTCGTTCATTCATGTGTACCAGAACATTTATGGATTGCGCATAATCACGCAACGTCACAAAATCAGCCTGTGATAGGAACTGATTGTAAACCACACCTTCGGTGTAGGTGAAACGATTACGCTCCAGTTCCCACAACTTAATTTGGTCTACAACTGTTGGTGGTAGTGGAGACTTTGATTTAATAGCTGATTCGGTCAGTTTCATGTTCGGATGGGAATACTGTTCCAAGTAGCTAACAATTTGGTCCGCCGTAATACCACCGCGTAGCGCTTGTCGTACAGAATCGCGGGTCAATACACCCACAACCAAGTTTGGAAAACGATATAACAATTCGGTGAACAAACCCAATACTGCCACTTGCAGCGGAGAGTCGGTGTATGCGTAAACTCGGTAATTGGTTTCAACCACAATATAACCACTCTCCTGAACCTTGTCCTCCTCGCTTATTACAGCTGGTACTGCTGCATGNGTGCGAGAGACATTTTTAATCTATTGTAAGATGCAAATTTAAATTACCCATTCTACAACGGCCTCTCACGTAAATGGGGAACTATCCGCCGCTCTTGGAGTATCGTTTCCAAAATCGTTTAACGTNATGCGAGAGCCATTTTGAATCTATTGTAAGATGCAAATTTAAATTACCCATTCTACAACGGCCTCCTTCACGTAAACGGGGAACTATCCGCCGCTCTTGGAGTATCGTTTCCAAAATCGTTTAACGTCATCATGCCCGTTTTTAGTGACAACCATCGTGCGCGTTCGTTCATTCATGTGTACCAGAACATTTATGGATTGCGCATAATCACGCAACGTCACAAAATCAGCCTGTGATAGGAACTGATTGTAAACCACACCTTCGGTGTAGGTGAAACGATTACGCTCCAGTTCCCACAACTTAATTTGGTCTACAACTGTTGGTGGTAGTGGAGACTTTGATTTAATAGCTGATTCGGTCAGTTTCATGTTCGGATGGGAATACTGTTCCAAGTAGCTAACAATTTGGTCCGCCGTAATACCACCGCGTAGCGCTTGTCGTACAGAATCGCGGGTCAATACACCCACAACCAAGTTTGGAAAACGATATAACAATTCGGTGAACAAACCCAATACTGCCACTTGCAGCGGAGAGTCGGTGTATGCGTAAACTCGGTAATTTGTTTCAACCACAATATAACCACTCTCCTGAACCTTGTCCTCCTCGCTTATTACAGCTGGTACTGCTGCATGCTTATTTGTTACGTTTAACGCTAGACGTGTCGGATAAAACCGCCCCTCCTTCCGTTTACGTTGAAATACAAGTCCGAATTCCCGTAAATGTTGCAGAAATGTTAACATTTTAGGGCTCATACCCTCCGAGCTGTAGTCGCGTCCTAGTGTGGAGAAGCTTAGCTGAAAAAGCATTGAAAGACACTCGGGCAGCGAAAGGCCACGTTCTTCGCAAGTATCCAAGTACTGAAGCATGAAATGCCACACTTGCGATTGAGTGTCANCATTTGTAATATTAAGCACCCATGTACGTATTTTTATTAAAGATTATATACATACATACAATGCGAGAGCCATTTTGAATCTATTGTAAGATGCAAATTTAAATTACCCATTCTACAACGGCCTCCTTCACGTAAACGGGGAACTATCCGCCGCTCTTGGAGTATCGTTTCCAAAATCGTTTAACGTCATCATGCCCGTTTTTAGTGACAACCATCGTGCGCGTTCGTTCATTCATGTGTACCAGAACATTTATGGATTGCGCATAATCACGCAACGTCACAAAATCAGCCTGTGATAGGAACTGATTGTAAACCACACCTTCGGTGTAGGTGAAACGATTACGCTCCAGTTCCCACAACTTAATTTGGTCTACAACTGTTGGTGGTAGTGGAGACTTTGATTTAATAGCTGATTCGGTCAGTTTCATGTTCGGATGGGAATACTGTTCCAAGTAGCTAACAATTTGGTCCGCCGTAATACCACCGCGTAGCGCTTGTCGTACAGAATCGCGGGTCAATACACCCACAACCAAGTTTGGAAAACGATATAACAATTCGGTGAACAAACCCAATACTGCCACTTGCAGCGGAGAGTCGGTGTATGCGTAAACTCGGTAATTGGTTTCAACCACAATATAACCACTCTCCTGAACCTTGTCCTCCTCGCTTATTACAGCTGGTACTGCTGCATGCTTATTTGTTACGTTTAACGCTAGACGTGTCGGATAAAACCGCCCCTCCTTCCGTTTACGTTGAAATACAAGTCCGAATTCCCGTAAATGTTGCAGAAATGTTAACATTTTAGGGCTCATACCCTCCGAGCTGTAGTCGCGTCCTAGTGTGGAGAAGCTTAGCTGAAAAAGCATTGAAAGACACTCGGGCAGCGAAAGGCCACGTTCTTCGCAAGTATCCAAGTACTGAAGCATGAAATGCCACACTTGCGATTGAGTGTCAAGTAAAAGGAACTGGAAGCCTTGACGTGTAATTGTAATACCATCGCGTTCGTCACGCTTCATGAGATTGGCATGAAGTAGTATACGTACCGCGTCTGGACTGATAACTTCACTGTCTTGGCCTTTGCTTGAACTGCCAGTACCCACCATGTAATGCAGTACACAACGCCAACGGGCCATTGCATATGTGTCGAGGAAAGCAATATCACGTGGTTTCGAATCCTTTTCCAGCGTATGGGACATTGACCAAGGTTTGCCACCACCTAACAAAGCAATTTTTAAATTCTTTTTAAATGTTGGACTAAGCTCCCAGGCTGATAGACCACCGGGAATAGCTGTAACACGCCAAACGTTGAGCTCACTCAGGCAAGCGGTAGACGCAGCTTGTTCTCTGAATAATAAAAGGATAATAAAGATGGAAAGATACGAAATAGGCGAATATTTACTCACTTTGCATAATGCTGAGAGCCCCATGATGCGACCACAGCTTGAGGTACTGGTTGTTCGACGAAGAGTATACGTATTACAAATTGGCGAGCTATCTCAGGCAGTTCTCGGTAAACGGCTAAACAAATGGTTGGGTAGTTGTATAATTTTTCCAGTGTGTCTTGTGTCCGAGTACGTAGATACTGCTGTAGATCCATGCACTGCAAATTGGCCGGCTTTGGTATCAGCGCGTATGTGGATGTAGTGGTACCTGACCGACCAGGTTTTGCATCGGCCATGTTTATTATTATTTATTTTTAGTTTTGGTCAAGTTACAATCCGGCGTGAACTACGAGATAAACGTCTTTTTTATCAGCAGAGCCGGACAAAACAAGAGTATCACCAAAAATACATCTTCCGCTTCTTTTTCGTTCTGTCCATTCACAATGAAAGAAAACAAATGAAATTCTTTTAAGCTACGACCGCACTAAGCGACGCGGCACTACGCGGAACTGCGCGACGCTTTTGGTATACCGCACTGCGCAGCAAAATTTTCAATTTATTTGTTTCAAAACTTTATTTTCCTTAACAAACTCTAATCAAATTTTATGTTTCTTTACATAAAACGTGCTTCTCGAATAAAATGTATGTGAATATTCACTCATAATTCGAAATCCAATACCGTCGAATTAAAAATATTGTATGAAGTGAATTGTTAAGTCGTCCCGCTGGGTACACCGCATTATCCGGCACCGGAACTGCGCGACACAACGCGACGTGGCATTTTCGCCTAGTTGGTCAAATTTGCCGCGAACGTCACGTCGCGTAGTTCCGCTGCTGCGTAGTACGGTATGCTCCATAAGAATCCATGCTTGAACCAAAAATACAAGATCACGTAACTTGTTCCAAAACGCTACAACTTTTTTTCTGAAAATCGATTACAAATATAACGATGGCTGATTAGGTGATCTGTAGACGTTGGTTCATGGAATCCATGCAATTAAAATTTTGCCGCACTGTGTAATCTCGTGTCGCGTCGCATAGTGCGGTCGTACCTTCAAAGTGAAACGATAGCTATGACTGGCAGCTGTAATCCAAATGAGTAAACCAAAATTCGCGCCTAATATTTTCAATAGTCGAATACACCGATCAGCTGTTTACTTCTGTTTCTGTTGTAAATTTTGCGTTTTTTACTATTTCTTTAATTCGCACTCTGTGAGCGTAAATCTCTCAATTCTTTCATTCTTCTTCTTCCTGACAATTATCTGCTAGAAAAGAAAAGAAACCAGCTTCCGATATCAAATTGAAAAATTTTGACAGTTTATGCTGCCAAAGCAAAAACAAAATACATGTGAATTTTTCTTTTTGTACTCCTGCTTCATGATTCAATAATACAAGGTTAGATAATTATTGACAGCTGCGGTTTGACACTCCCTTACAAAAGGTTGCATTTACGAAGGACGGAGAAAGTGGAAGAATGAAATCCCTTGGTGCGAAAATGGTAGTAGAAAAGTACGCAAAGTAGGCAATTAGTAGTGAAACTCCTTTTGTAAATTCTAATGTATTTGCAGGAAATCTGGTATTTTAAACGAAATGTTGAACGTAATATTGATATATTTACGCGAATTACGTAATTTATGTGCTATTTAGCTGTATAAAAACTGCAAAATGACTCAAAATTAAAATAAGACTGCTATGAGATTGATGTAAACATCCAATTTAAAAACAGTTTATGTTTTCATCAGTTAAATATGCTTCATATGCAAAATCTTATACTTCTATTTCACACCAAAGCTACACTGTTTCCATGTAAATTTGCAAAGAAGCAACACTGTGCCACTGCTAAGGGAGCGGTGCGAGAGAGACAACTGTCAGTTTATCGAACCTTGTATTCAGGTGTATTAAACAAGGTGGTGTTGGGGCGACAGCTGAGTTTTTCGCCGTGGAGGCCATTACGTCAAAATGATGTGTTTGTTGTAATTCATACCAATGCCAGTATGGACATCAGCGTATAATTTGTTAGTGTAATTTTTTACTTATATACGGCCAACACCACCTTGTTAAATACGCCTTGCTTGTATTATTGAATCATGCTCCTGCTTCACCTTATATTAATTCGCCTTGAAAGAAACAAAACCATAAATTCGCGTTGGACTATTCACAATGTTATAAACTATTCACAGTTTTCTTACTAGCAGCTGTGCGCGCAATATTTAATTTTCGGCGGCTTGTTTCAAAAAAAATAAAAATTTGCCGAATTGGTGAGCAGCTTTTACATTTTTAATTACGATGAGCGCCAGCGATGGGATTTTTAATAACTTACGGCAAAAACTTGATGTTTTGGGTTACACACAAACATTGCCATTGGCTGGTATACCGTTGGTTGGAGCGCTCTTCGAAGATTTGGTCAAATCCACGGAGAGTCTACGAGATGCCAAGAAAAAAATTGTCGACTTGTTAGAGGTAAAGTTTTGTGGAAGGCTCTGTGATTGAAATGTATATATAAAATACACAACCAACTATAACCGGCAATATGTGGTTTGACCTCATTCTGTTGTCATGGTCAACATATATAATTTGTGTCGTGGCAAAACCTTTGATGTACGTACAAATGTAGTAGTTTTTACTCTTTTGTATGGTTTAGGAAAAGGCATGTTGGGAGTTGGGAGTTGAACCATACAAGTGTGACAATTCACGCCTGTTAGCTGAGTGCAATCAGCTGCATCAACAGAGTTTAAAGGATCGAGAGGAATATGAGCAGCGTAACTTCGGTGAGGCTATTTAATTATCAAATATTTGTACATACATATAAATTATACACAAAATTTTTTAATAATGCACGCTAGAATTAAGTCAGAAAATCCGTAACCTTGTTACGGATAAAATTCACCTAGAGGAGCACTCNACTTCGGTGAGGCTATTTAATTATCAAATATTTGTACATACATATAAATTTTACACAAAATTTTTTAATAATGCACGCTAGAATTAAGTCAGAAAATCCGTAACCTTGTTACGGATAAAATCCACCTAGAGGAGCACTGCCAGCAGCTGCAGCAGCAACTTGCATCATTGCTAGCAAAACAGCAAAGCTCATCACTTGCGCCCAATATGAAAAATGCTAAAGATAAAGGTAGTTTTTACTTTGCTCGGTCGAACGTTTAAAATATATTATAGATAAAACACTTTTCGCAGTAAAGAAACCTTTTATTAGCACAGTGCGTTCTGGCGAACGTATACCACCACTTATGGACAATGCTAGTAATTTACGATGCACTAAATGTAACACACAAACTATACATTCGCATGCACTAAATGGTGTCGGTAGCGCCCCCAGCGCAGCATTGAAAATTGAGTTGGAAAAGTTAGAGAATAGAGTAAAAGATTTAACAGAGCAATTGGAGTTCTATAAACGAAAGGTAATAACTGAGGCTTTTTGATTATAGTAGTGATAATGGTATGTATATGTTTCACTCTCATTTCGCCAGATTGAATCGCGTGATCGCGAAATACGTCGCTTGAATGATCTACTTATTGGTGGTCGCCCTCCCGCAGCACTTGCAAAGGACTGCTGTTTCAAAGATGTGCGTGGTTTGTCCGAAGATATAGAATTATTGCAGCGAGAGAAATCTCAGAGTTTGAATAAAGTACGTGAGTACCAGGAACAAATGCATGAGGCCATGGAACGTGCACTTTCGTTGGAGACCCAGAACAAGCAGTTGCAGAGGGAGCTTGATGAATTGAAAGAAGCGGCGCTGTCCGTGGAAACACAAGCAAATACGGAAATTGCACAGCGTGAAGAAGAGCTGGAAGAGTTGCAAAAAGAGTTGAAGAAACTGCGCTCAAGGCAAGAGAGGGTTGGCGATAATAGAACGCAGGTAGGTAGAAGAACCGATGGCGTTGGAGATGGCAATGCATGTGAGACAAGCGCAGTTGCTACGCTGCATGCAGACAAACGACGCCTAAATGAACGCATCAACGAGCTTACACAGCGCGGTAAGAAGCTGGAAAATGTATACCTGAATAATTGTTTTAAAATTTTGTACTTTAGATACGGAACTGAAGAGTGAAAATGAGCGCCTGCAGAAGAAAGTAATCAAACTCAAAGGAAAAATACATGGCATGCAAAAAGGTTAGAAAATAGAAACTCATTTTAAGTTATTTCTAATGCATGTAATTGAATATTTTGACTTGTTTCAATATATTAATTTTATTTAGAGCTTCAAGATAATGTGCAACAAAAAGAACAACGAATCGACGAAGAAAAAGTTAGAATCAAATCTGAGCGCGACTTTTTCCAAAAAGAATACTTGCGTCTGATAAGTAAGGCCGGTTCAGAAAAGGTAGTTAAAATGATTTGTCTAAATTTTGAACTTTTCATTTCACAAAATACCTTTTTTAATTTATCAGGAAATTGACTTCCTACAATCTCAAATAAAATCTAAGGACGATGAACTTCGTTTGCTGCGCGCTGAGCTTTGTCTACGCCAACAGGAACGCCTACTGCCGACGGTTGCCACAGCAAATGCGGCTAAAATTACCGCTCCAACTGAACGCTGCGACTTCAGACAAGCGCCACTAGCCAGCTGCACGTTCCAATAACTCTACTAAGTCCACATATAGTGCCTCAAGTAATGATTGTGTACAAGCTGTGGTCTTGCGAGCGGAGCGTGAACGTGATTGCGCACGCGCTGAATTGGAACGTGTTCGTCTGCGAACGTGATACGCTACGCGAAAAGCACGTGTCCATGCTGCAAGCGCAAGCGATGGATACTCAAAAGTCCCAAGCACATCTAAGCGAGCTGAATGCGCGCATACGACAGTTAGAACGTGAAAATCGTGATTTGAATTCAGCGCGCGTACCAAGTGAAACACATATTGTATTGCTCAAGGAGGAAATTGAAGAATTGAAGCGAAGGCTTTTTGAATTGCAAGAGGAAAACTCTAAGCTGCGCACCAATCAAAATCAGATGAAGTGGGTAATCGGTGGATAATATGTACAAATCCCTAAAATTATTCATTGCTTTTTATTTATGCTAGAATTTTGAATGAGCAAAGAGAACGCACGCTTCAGGAATGTCAAAGTAAGCTTACCATAGCAGAGCGGCAGTTGCAAACCGCAGATACGCGTTTAAATGATTTGGATACAAATCGTGAGACCACACATCGTGAAGCTACACAGTTGCGCAATGAAGTTGCTGCATTGAAAAAAACTTATGTGTCGCTTGAGAATGAGAAAGATAAAATATTGGTATGTATGTACATACATATTTACAAAAGATAGTATTGTCGCCATCAACACTGATGACATTAATTGCCATTTTTGGGAAATATGTCTATTAAAATTCCGATATATCCATCTGACTCGAAAGACAAAGTTTGAAACAATGTCTTAAAATATTTCTTGGGTTTATTAGAAAAGTCATTAAAGCATTACATGCGATCATTTCTTGTATCTAAACATTTTCTTGAAACAAATACACATGTATGTATGAATGATTTTCTTAATACAGCAACAATTAGATGCCAAAACTGAACGTGCGTACCAGTTAGAGTTTGAACTTAAGATTTGCAAGGAGAAACGAATTGCTTTGGAAAAGGAAGTTAAAGATTTAGAGGATCAGTTAAGGTTAGTGGTGCAATTTATTTATCTGTATATTTATTAGTTTACTTCTTTTATCTAAAATCGATTATAATCTGCTTTAAAACTTTTTCGAAAAAGGGCAATATCCGTAGCTAAAAGTTTGATGTATTTGTATGTAAATTTAGTACATTTATATTACGAATATATCGAATATACGTATGAAGCAGTATTCTCCATTATTTGCCAGTAGCCGTGGATAAGAGTTTGTCGTATTTTACTTTTGGCAGGTTTTGGGAAGTCGCAACTGAGGTTTGGAAGGCAATTTCTCAGAAACGCGACGATAGATTTTCCACAAAGCCTCGGAGCATGTTACTAGTTCAGGAAATTCTCAAATTATTTTGTTGTTTATTGCTAATTATTTTTGAGTATATGTAGGATCTTCTTTGGTAAAATTATGTCGAATGAAACATTTGTCAGCAATTTGGCAGCCATTTTGTATGGCATACGACAAAATGTGATAAAATTTTTTACTAAATTAACGATACCTTTTTTTTAATATCTCGGAAACTAAAGGATATATCTAAAATAGATAACGTCATTTCAAAGATGGATATGTTTAGTGTGGCTGCCCTATTAACTAAATTTTTACTAAGTGACGGACAAAATTTTAGTCAATATCTCGGAAAATAAAGGGCATATCCAAAAAATGATAACACCAATCGGAAAATATTATTTTAAAATAAATAACTGCATCTATAACTGAAAATCGTCAAAATAGCGCATACGACAATATTTTATCCAGGCGACGATTCATCCTCAGTGAGAGAAACATGAATGATAGTACGAAAACGCAAAAGCACTAACAATTTGCAACTTTTAGGAACAGTTGATTAGTCATTTATTTTCCGAAGCAATTTCCTGGATATTCATATAAATCCTTAAATGTCTCGTAACCGCTTAAACTTGGTAAACAAAGTAGGTTTTATACTAAATTAAGTAAATTCACGAGGCATGTTCACCCTATTAAGTTTATCGGGTGATCCATCTAGACCTTTTTAATAAAACAAAAACAATTAAAATAGAAATGGATGTCGGAAGAAACATCTCTCTCTGACATTTATTTTTTAAAAATGATTTCATTCAAATGTTGGCTGCATACAGAGCACAACCGTCGGATGCATTTATAACCTCCGTCCGAATTTTCCTGTCGAAGTGTCTGTCCTAGTTGATGAGCGTGACAACCTTCGTCAGGCCGATCCCGGAAATACCCGCATTAGGGATCTCAACGTGGAGAGGGATCCCAAAGGAGAGTCTTAGCGTCCGATAACACCCCTTTCCCAGTAGCGAATACACTTGAGGCCTTGCTACTTCCGCACTATACGAACTACCTGATCCCAGCGAGGCATCTGCATGGGTTCCGTAAAGTGCACAGCAGGACAATGGCACATGACGCCATAAACACTCAAAAAATTCATGGTCTGAACCGAACCCGCCCCTGCGAGAAAACAGTCTTAGTAACGCTGGACCTGTCAGGGGTTTGACACCGTCAGCCACTCCACGCTACTAGAAGACGTTGAGGCTCCTTCGCACAGGGACTCAAACGGTGGTCAGCGATTTACTTGAGTCGACATTCGTCAGTAATTTTTAAAGACAAAACCAGAAAACCGAGAAAAATTTAACGGGGAGTTCCACCCTTTTTACCACCTGAACGTAGGAGGTCAGACTTCAGCTAGGAATTCACGTCGATGGCGAAATAATCCCGACGGTGAATAACTCTAAAATTCTCGGAGTTACCTTCGATAGTCTGCTGTCAGAGTACAGAGGCGCAACAAGGTCCTCAATCGCTAGCCGGCAGCACATGGGCCAAAGACAAAGAAATGTTGTTGGCAACATACAAGGCAATTGGCCGGCCGGTTCTTAACTACGCTGCGCTCATTTGGTCGCCGGTTCTGGCAGGACGCAGTGGACGAAGCTACAGACTTACCAAAACACGGCGCTCCGGACAGCCACCAGACGCCTTCTGATGTCGCCACAGCACCACTACACGACGAGGCTCAGATGCTCCCCATGAAGGAGCATAACACAATGCTTTGTAAGCAGTTTCTAGTAGGATGTCACAGACGCGGGCACGCGAACAGATACCTTCTTGCAGCAGAGCCCTCGCCAAGGCACGTCACGAGCTGATGGACGAAGTCAAGAGGTTCATAAAACGACCTCTGGACCCGTCAGCTTACTCACAGAGAGTCGGTCCCCACTTACACCGACTCTCGACCGTTTTCGGAACACAACCACCAGACGTGGATAGGGCAGACCTTCGTTTGCCTCGGGAGACTCGGGCCACAATAGCCCAACTTCGCTCAGGCTACTGCAGCAGGTTAAACTCGTACCTGAGCAGATTAGAGGCAGATGTTCCCATCATGCGGATAGACACCCCACGACTAGAGACATCTCTTCGCATGCCCCTAAACCCCACTCAAGTAATCGAATTTGCACGCTTCCTGGGTTTCCCATTAGTTGAGCTTGACGACAACGATTAATGGACAAGGCAGGGCTCAGTACCCGCTACAATCATCTGGACGAAGGACGTCATTAAATTACGTGACAAGAGAAAAGTCATAAGGTCGCTGCTAGCCGGCAGCACCTTGGGAGCCGACAAAAAGACCCTGTTGCGCCAATTACCCACCGATGGAGCCGCAATTCCGTACTTGCCGTCCGTATCAACATATAAAATTGCTGCTGTTAGAGAGAGGGAGACAGAGAGAAGCAACGACAAGGCAGGGCTCAGTACCCGCTACAATCATCTGGACGAAGGACGTCATTAAATTACGTGACAAGAGAAAAGTCATAAGTTCGCTGCTAGCCGGCAGCACCTTGGGAGCCGACAAAGAGACCCTGTTGCGCCAATTACCTACCGACGGAGCCGCCATTCCGTACTTGCCGTCCGTATCAACATATAAAATTGCTGTTGTTAGAGAGAGGGAGAGAGAGAGAAGCAACGACAACGTCACCGTCATGCTGTGGTGAGTTTTTGTTATCACAAAAATCCTATGCGAACATACAAGGCGGTGGCAAACTATGCAGCGCCAGTGTGGTCAGCAGGAGTGACACGGGGTGAAGAAAGAACACAATGTCTTGCTATACTGGAAGTCGGACGTGGAAAGTCACCGTAGGCACAGCAGCGCTCTACGACCGGAGAACAACCTCGAGCCGCGCGTAGGACATGCACTTTTGACGAGGCGCGATACAAAGCAGAACCCAACCACATACACAACGATGCAGTCAGGGCGAGACTTGTACTCGTAAAGAACTACAACTACATAGCTATCTCGGTTAAACTCAGAAGTGACAAACACCTGCCCAGCANCACAACGATGCAGTCAGGGCGAGACTTGTACTCTTAAAGACTACAGCTACATAGCTATCTCGGTTAAACTCAGAAGTGACAAACACCTGCCCAGCAAACGGTCACGATCCACATAACTCCCAATATCTTCACATAAACCTCTAACACGACGGCGCTGACACAAAAACAACAATGCCAAACAGAACTCACGACATACAGGTCGACAATTTTAGTGGTTAAGATAAAGAAATAAGGCGATCGGCTGGTCGGTGCCAAATTAGTAGAACGCAGTGGACGGATCTTCGAACTGCACTTAGGACTCTGAACGGATATCTTTTGTTGTAGTCTGTGCATAATTTACACATTTAGATAGGCAATTGCTGGAGGTCAAGCTTAATGCCAGGTACGTTAGTACCCATGTCAGGGATATCAAGAGCCAGCTTCAGCCAGCTTCGTTCCGCGTTCATTCACTAAATTAGGACGGATTTAGTAAGTACAAAAAAAAAAACAGCATGACCTGTGCTCATATTTAATTTCTTTCGTTTTTTGTATTGCATAAAATAATATTTAACGCTCTTAATTTTACTATAAATATGCATATTTATCTCTTAATATGTATTCAAATGGCACACAGAAATCTCAAACACACAAAACAACAATGCTTTTTTTTTACTTACTTCACTAGTTGATTTGCTTCAAATTAATTATAAATCNTCTTAATTTTACTATAAATATGCATATTTATCTCTTAATATTTATTCAAATGGCACACAGAAATCTCAAACACACAAAACAACAATGCTTTTTTTTACTTACTTCACTAGTTGATTTGCTTCAAATTAATTATAAATCATTATTACACGGATCGAAAAACTTAAAATAATATAGTTTTATACAATTAATTTAACACTTTCATTTTACAAATACATATGTTTGATTTATCCGTGTTATCCGAAAAATTCTAAAAACCATCTAGAAGGATATGAAAAGAATCGAAAAAATATTTATAATTGAAACTATATATAAACAGTAGATATATGTACATACTTAATATAAAATAACATATTTAAAGGCAAACATACGAGCATGCTGAGGTACATTCGCAGGCACAGTAGTATCATACATACATACACTTATGTACAGGCAATATATAGACGCTGTTGGCGAGATAGCAGTATAGTTGAGAAGAAACGGGCATGCATTCGTTACAAAAATATGTAAATACATACATATGCAGAGTTGAAATTATACACAGTGCTCCTGAACCAATTTCAAGTTGACTTCGATAACCCAAAACCGTCTTCCGTTAAATCGCTGCTAACTTTTTTCTCGTTATATTGATATGCATTCCTTATATATTTTTATCTTGTGGTCTAAATAACATATTCGTACATACATTGTATTTACATAAAGTTTTATTGCTGTAGGATAACCCCATAACCCGTGCCGACTTGAAGTTTAAGTTTCGATCAAGAGTTGTACTGAGATCCCTGCTACATGGTATATTCTTTATTTTTACCCGTGAGCTTAATCGTAGTAAAACGGCGTTTTTAGCTTTTCAGGGATGGCCGGGCTATGTTAGACGGTCTGCTACAGTCAGAAGATCACTTGGGCATCTCATAGAGCCAGGGCCCATTAGTTTAGATGGTCTGCTCTTATCAAGAATTCACCATGGGATCTCATAACCCAGGAGAGAATATTTTCTAGAAACTTATCCCTACATGTCCTTAAATCATTGTCGATTTTTTAAAGAATGCAGACAGTCCCATCAGTGAAACGGTGCCCAAGCTATCCAGACCTCGCAGAAATGGTTCCCCAGAAATAACGTTTTTTCGTAGTGCGAGACATTTGACCTACTTAATTTGAAGTCACCTGTTCCTTTTACTACTTAGTAGCTACTCTGGAACTTTGAGATCAGCGAGTTCCTGTATACCCGGCTACATTCAGTCTCTCCTTCAAGGCAGCCTTACTGTATATCAAATAATTAAACTTTTGAGCGTACCAGATCCACCAAGCTTGCCAATTTTGTATAGACCTCAGCTATTAAAAACATTGTAGGAGTTTAAAAGTTTGTAAACCAGATCGGAATCTCTTCGTTACACGAAAGAGAGTTAGATTCTCTGTTTCTTCTGTTGGGAGGTTTGATGTTCTGACCAAAGCCTCGGTGATCTGTTAATCCTGTCTCTCCCTCTCTTTAGCCGCAACAATGTTTGAGCCTATCTATCCCTTGGCTTGGCCCTGATTGATAGACTAGTCGATTAAGGCAGCGTTTAATAAGACCGCCACATCAACAACGACACAACGAGTGAACTGCTCCCTTTAAGTACTTATAGAAGTGCGCGTAGCCAAACATTTTTATCTCGATTGCGCCCATTCCGAAATACAATTTGAAGGTCCCAAATCCGCTTATCCCGATATCTATCATAAATAAAGATTATTTTCCCGTCCCACCCGGAAATTTTTAGAGACCTACCCGATACCGCCGATCCCGGCCACTTTAAAATTAGTACCGTGGGTCCTACGGGTAAACCTCCTGGACCACTCGAATGGATATATTTTGAACAGACTTTAACCATCGTCAGTCATAACTGTGTTAAATGTAGTTGTGGAATACTTCAAGTAAAAGATCAGCACCGATTTCACGGAAAGTAGTTTTGGAGAATATGAACAGTTATACAAAATACTATGAGAACAGTTTCGTGGTCCGTTTTAATTGAACCTTTTGAGGAATCGGGGGCACTGTGATTACAAGTTTATGAATATAAATTACTTAGAAAGGCGAATCCAGAATGTATGAATAGCGCGAAGAGAACGTAAAACAGATTTAAGTTAGCCCACAGCATTCGGGTTCTACTTAAATTACATAAAAACTCGCATTCCCCATTTTGTTGTTAGTTTTAAAATTGAAAATTGGGAAAATTAAGATTTGCATTAAATTTAGAATTTTCGCGTTGCTTATTCAAATACCTCGCTAGTCCCACCGTGGGTGCATTACAGCGCGTTATGCGCGCTCGTGGTAAATTTCGCTCATCTTCATCATCATCCTTCGCTTCCGGCTCTACAGCGAGTGTGTAGCCCGGCCGGCATACACATTTCGCTTTAGTACCTAAAAATCGTTGTATTTGTGGACCAATTGTTTGGGTTTTTAGCGGCGCCAACCATTGGCCCGGCCCGCATGGCCCCCGCGTATATAACTTGTAACAATTCCCATTAATCTCCACCATGCCCGGTGTGGATTCGCATGTATTGTCCTCCTCTTCTGTGCCACCATTATCAACATTCGAACACTGCTGATCGAGATTCCAAATGACACCAGAGCAACCGCATATGCCGTTGTATGAGATGCCATCGACGGAGGGACGAGCGGTGAAATCGAATACCACCACCTGATGCAGGGAGCAAGGACCTTGTGAGCCAATGCGATAACAAGTATTCTGATCGGGAAAATAAAGTCGAGTTTTACCGCAGAAATTTCGTACACAACTGGTAGCATTAATTAGAAACTCGTTAGGTCCACACGGACCTCTGGTATAAAGGCGATAGCACAGGCCATCCTTCCAAGGCACGTAACCATCCTTGCATTGGCATTGCGCGCGGGGTATATCCGCCGCTGTATTGGCGACGGTGAAATTATCAGGCAGATTGAAGATATGGCCAGACGGGCAAGGTCCCGGCGTGTCTGCGAATATGCAATGCAAATGTTAACGCAACTGCTTAGTAAAATAAAAAAGAAGGTGACATTCATACTTAATTCATAGCACATTTGATGCACATCGCTGTAGTGTGGCAAATGCCGATGACAGTCGCAGCGGCCACCTGGCAGAAAGAGATCACCCGGTGCGGTGCAGGGACCTCTGGTATAGTGTTCGTGGCACGTCTCCTCTTGGTCATAATAGTAGTCACGCAGTGTACCTTCTGCTTCGCACTGAAATCAAGTTAAAAGTTAGGGTATAATACATTTTTCTTTCCACTTTCAAGTTATGTACATATGTACTAACCTTGCACTCGCCCAGCCCATCTTTATTTAACACCAACAGCTTGCCCCTAACACAAGGCCCTTTGGTATATTGCGCATAGCATTTACCTTCTTTTGGCCAGTAAATCATGCCTACCGGACACTGTCTTGCAATTTTGCAGCTGCCCCAACGATTGCTAGACCTGTAAGTGCATTCAATTATTTACTTACTGAATTTCACTTCAAATCAAGACCATCAGCCTACTTTCAATCGAAATACTGCTTACCTTCTACCCCCACTGACTGCCGTCCGTTCTTCTGGCATGGGCGCAAAAAAGGCACCATGTTCACATGGTCCGCGTTGAAAAATATCATGACATTTATTCGTCTCCGCACTTAACGCGGTACCTGGCGGACAGCGACATTCGGCAGATGGCGCATTATTTCGCGCCGCCTTCGTTTTGCCTCCATTGGGAGCTGGACTCAATTCCATAGTTTCCGGACATGGATAACCGATCGTGAAGATTTTGAAACATTGCTTGAGTGGTGGCCAATAGAGTAACTGCCAACCGCCAGGCATGCTAGCGCAGGGGTTCTTCTCGGGATCACTCCAAGGTGGTGGTACGATCGCCGCTTGGGTTGTTTTGTTTAGGAGTAGTGTGAGAAAGGCGATTATACTGATACCTGAGTGCAGCACGGTCCAGCAGAGCAGCAGCTTTCGGCGCTTCATTCTTAGGATCTCTGTGTTGTTGGGGGTAGCGTGCTAAAAGAAAAAAAAAAAACTTATTAGCCAATATCCACGATAGTCTTTAAGTTATTCTGAGTGTATCTATAATTTGTTGTGATGTTTTCATTTAAGTATCCTTGTCTTAACCCTGAACCATACAAATAGTCAGCACATTCGTTATAGTTTCGAGAAAGTAGACACTTTTCTTAGGAACCAGCATTAACACCGATAATAATGTCAGCATCGAAATCCAACGCATAATCGCTCTTGCCAACAAGTTCTACTTTGGACTCAGTAGGTAATTCAGGAGTAAAGTCCTTTATCTACGTACGAAAACCACACTCTGTACGTCACTCATCATGCCCGTTCAGGTATAAATATAGCGCAGAAGCATGCACAATGACAACATCCGCACGACAGCCGGCACGACAGCCGGTTCTACGTACCGGAATGACTCGGGTTTTACCCGACCAAGGGCTGTCGTTTCGGCGACTTAACCCCGGTTAGATCGGCGATACCCTTCAATCATTGTCTGTCCATGGAGCAACTCCCTGCAGCCGGATTGCTCCGCATCCTTCTTCTCCGGGCGGGCGTTGAGCCCAACCCCGGACCAGAAACATATTTCTGCTGTGTTTGCCAGAATCGACTCCATCCGAACTCCACTTCGGTTAGATGGAGTCACCTAAGAACCTGCTCTGGTCTTAGGTCTCACCGGGAGTGGACCACAAGCTATGTGGCTCCCTGCTGCTCAAGCCAAATGGCACAATCAGCCTCCACGGTAGTAGGTGACGTCAACGCGCACCACGATCTCTGGCACTCTAGCCTGGCCAATGGTCGTAGGGGAAATCTTTTGGCTGAGCAGATAGACGATTCGACATTCTGCACCATGAACGACGACGCCCCCACCAGGATTGTGGGTAGCTGCAGCAGCTCGCCAGACCTTACAATTGCTAGCGCTGGTCTGATCAATAGCATATCATGGCGACCTAGGCTAACACTAGCATCAGACCATCTACCCATAATCATCTCGATCAATAGCTTCGCTTCAGCTTCTCCACCCTTCGCACACCCACAAACGTACATGCTGGCGAACGCCAGTTCCGCAGGGTAGTCACTGCCACAGCGGCTCGCTTCATCTCGTCCGGACGTATCGCGGAAGTTCGCCCAAATTTCCCGGCCGAAGCAAATGAGCGTGACCACCTACGCCAGGTCGATCCCGGGGACCCTCGTCTGAGGGACCTTAATTTGGAGATTCGGGAACTGGTAAATCAGCACAAGCGGAAAAAGTGAGATCAGCACTTGAAGGCCTGTAACTTCACATCTGGTGTGAGTAAGCTCTGGTCAACCGTGAGGTCCTTGTCTAACCCAACGAAGCGTGATGACAAAGTGGGAATCTCATTCGNACAGCGGCTCGCTTCATCTCGTCCGGACGTATCGCGGAAGTTCGCCCAAATTTCCCGGCCGAAGCAAATGAGCGTGACCACCTACGCCAGGTCGATCCCGGGGACCCTCGT